CGGCGGACAATCATAGGCACCTACGGCTGGGCTTTGGTTATAAGTTGCCTATCATCGCCATCTACGACCTGAAAACATAGCCATTTGTGGCGCACGCAACGCTCAAGAGCGCGACGAATTACGATTGTCTTGCTACATACTCAGGTTGTTCTGCTATCGTTTTCACATCAGCTCTCTCAAAATTCTCGCATCATTTAAACTCTGAAGGCTCGGAGGGCTCTTGATTTTGAAGGTTCTGCTAGCTGTTATTTATTGTTGGCAGGTTTCGTTGCTTAGGTATCAGGGCCGTCTACCCTCAATGTTTGTTCGTTCAAGTTATTTCAAAGCTGTAGGTAGAGTATGGTGAGAGAAGCGCGTTCTGCCCCCTGGAAGTCGTTTATTGCTTGTTATTATGACGGATAGCATTGTGTTCCCCTCCAGTTGGTCAATAGCATGTTTTTCCTCCATTCAGATGGACTGCGAAGGCGATATGTCGGGGTCTGAAATCGGCTGGCTTTATGCTCGCTCATATTGTCATGAATAGGCTGTCAGCATGCGCTTATTGGTGGCAGCTGCGCGCGCCGACGATCTCAGTCCAACACAATGCCTCGCTAATCCTATTATGGCAAGAAATTCTGAGCGCAAATGTTTCATGTAAAAGACTCGTCGCGTTGAATAACGCGCTCTGCCATTTGCAGATACGAGCAGTTTGAATTGGAACGGAAGAAGAAGCGCGAACATGCGCAAACGAAGCGACGAGTACCACCACCATACATTTCCATCAAGGACACCCTCAAAGAGACGACGGTTGTAGTCCCAGACATCAAGGTGAGGACTCCTTTGTTTCCTCTTATGAAGATGAATTCTAAATTTCATTCATCTCTATACGAGTTTGGAGATTATTCGACAATTCCCGAAGAAAACCGTCGAGGTCATTGGCGCTATTTGGCTTGGGATGGGCATTTTGCACTTCTGCTAGTTTTTTCACTAGTTAATGCTAATTACCAGAGTATACTTTCGTTAGACCTATAGGCGGCTATAGGACTGCGAAATGGTACACTCCTACCCCTGAATGAAGTGGCGTGGTGTATGGGACCATGGCGAGTAGAAGGGCTACCCGTAGGATATTCCCTACTTTGAGACAAGCTGTCATTTGATTCTTGGATTGGTCCAAATTCACCAATTAAAAACGTCCAGATTGAAATACTTCACGAAAGAACTTTGGCTTCGCCGACGTTCAAGCCTGCAGTCAACGCTAACGCATCTCAGGATTTTGAGTTATAAGGGTCTGAGGTGATGCGTAAAATCCACATGGACGAGGTGGGGGGGGGGGAATCTGGTCCATGGCCAGGGTAATTCTTGACAAAATAGTTACAAGAAGCAGTTTGTTAGTTAGCAGAATACCGAGGTAAATTCTACCAGGAATAGGTTGAAATTTCCTGAGAGAACTGGGGTTGTTTTGTTGTTCTCGACGCCCTTTCACCATCACCGCTGGCTTGGCGAACAAATCTTATCGAGATATTCCTAGAGTGGGTGGGAGTGTGGTTTCACTGATATCTAGCACATCCCCATAATGTTCCCTGTTTTATAGCTGATCGGATGTTTGTCGTTCTCCTTCCCCTCATCTCCTGCTCGACGGATGATGTTAGGAAGGGGTTGTCCTGGGTAAAAAATTCCCCACTTTCTCACGGTGTAGTCTACTCAAAAGGAGGGATAATAAAGCTCACCCAAAATCCAGAAAAACTTTAGAAAGTGGTATCGGTTACAATACTCTGAAAGGAACCAAGCGGGGTCACTTGGAGGTTTTCAAGTCCGCCTCATATCCTGCTTCCTTCCTGGAGTCTGGACAACTCTGGATGCGTTTGTGGCCCTCACAGTGAGCTTAGAGAGCAACCAATGAATAAGTTAGGATTTGTCCTTTTAGTGCACGTTTTAGTGTCAGTGTTTCGTGGGTATTAAAGCCATAGTGGACCTCAAATGAAGTGTGTACTACTCCAAGCCCCCTCCCCCCTCCCCCGCTATCCTCTCCCTTCATATCATTGCATTCTTGCTGATGATGAATTTGTGTGTGCGATCCTGCTACTAGGCGTACTTTGGATTTTTTTAGAGCGATTGTGCTCACCGATCGTTCTTTTTTTCTCGGAGTCCTTGAAAATCGGCAAAATGCACTTTCAACACATTTGATTTATCTGTAGCTGAGTTATAATGGTCGGTTCTCTTTTGAAAACCGGATGAGCAGTGGTGAGACGCGCCAGTTGAGGATTTATTGCTGGTCGTTCGTTTTCTGCTTCTTAATGCATCGAGTTGTTTTTCTCTGACTGGATTTTCGAGTAGTACTTCCGCTGAAGTTTGGAATTCTCTCACGCGGTACAGAGGGAAAACTTCCGAATTCATCTTGTCTACTTTATTTTTGTCTTGATTATTTGCCTCCAAGGCGAAACCGGTCAGTCCTGCCACTAGTAAGACAAATGGAGGAAATATGTTTTATGTGAGAGCCACATTCTTGCCAGATTTTCCGAAAGACTTGCACAGAGCAGAACCAGTCGCCTCATCGTAGTGCCCACAAGGAACCGAGCGCGAATTTGAGGGATCCTCAGAATTTGAGGGATTTTCCTAAAGGGGAAAAGGATTCGTTCCAGAATGGCTTTCTGTGTAATTTTTGTGTTAATCTAAAATATTCTGCGATTGCTTGATATGCGAGCATCGGACATTTGTAGGAGGTGGGCGTCCTGGTCGGTTTGTTGCAGCTCAGTAGGGCGCTATAAGGGTCTCTTTCTTGGAAAAGGCCCCGCGCAGCGCCTGCTCAGGGGCGCCAAATTTTATCCTGCTAGGTGTATGAGTGCTAC